TTAACTATTTCCTTCCGCCTTTCCCACCGCTTTCTCTCCTGGGAAAAATGAAACTTTTGGACGGCAGGAGCAGGGCCCCCGTGCACTTGCGAAAGTGCAGAGGAGCCCCTGCTGCCCCGCAGACGGCTCCATTTGCTCCTTTTCTTGCCCCCGGGGATGTTTCTCTGCCTGCAGCCCTGTGGCCCCATGTGAGGCTTGCAGCCCCGTACAAGACACAGAGCCGCTGACTCCCATCCCAGCTTCCATGGGACAATTTACACCAGCGGAGGGTTTGGCCCCGGTGGGGACGGGGAGGCCAGGCGGCGCGGGTGGCTTTCGGCGAAGCTGGTTATGGCTCCTATCGGGCTCCGTGTTCGAGGGAGAGGATGATTTCGAAGCCTTCTTTTTTTCCCGTAGGACACCGTGTTTTGTTAGTTTGCTTCGTGCGTGCTGAGGGATGTAGGGCTGCAGGAAACCGCCTGATACGAAAAGAAAGCGTCGGTCCTTGGGGCTTCCCCGGGGCTGCCCGCGTTGTGACACCGGGTAACGTACGCAGAATAAAGCGTCAAACTTTTTTTTCTGGAATCCGGTAAAACTAAGATGCATATTGCTCGAGACAGAAGTTGCTGAAAAAGATGATCCGAGTCAAGTTACCTGGAATTTTAGGATTGTGTTTAATATCACATATTTACGCGTGGAGAGTGTCTTCGTTTGACGTTGACAAAATCCGATATTTGAGAAACGTCAGTATTTTGCATCGGGAAAATTTAATCGATAATTTAATGGAATTTTACAAGAATTTGGAGGCGTTTCTGTTCGTGTTTTTATTGATAATTTTACGATTTAAAATATAAAGCAAACGCTCTGAGTCTTTTTGTCTTTTCTTAATGACAAAATCCCCAGTAACCCGCGCGTAACTGTACCAAGGCCAAAGGAATTAGCCTGGATTGTCCTTGGGGCTTCCCCGGGGCTGCCCGCGTTGTGACACCGGGTAACGTACGCAGAATAAAGCGTCAAAATTTTTTTTTCTGGAATCCGGTAAAACTAAGATGCATATTGCTCGAGACAGAAGTTGCTGAAAAAGATGATCCGAGTCAAGTTACCTGGAATTTTAGGATTGTGTTTAATATCACATATTTACGCGTGGAGAGTGTCTTCGTTTGACGTTGACAAAATCCGATATTTGAGAAACGTCAGTATTTTGCATCGGGAAAATTTAATCGATAATTTAATGGAATTTTACAAGAATTTGGAGGCGTTTCTGTTCGTGTTTTTATTGATAATTTTACGATTTAAAATATAAAGCAAACGCTCTGAGTCTTTTTGTCTTTTCTTAATGACAAAATCCCCAGTAACCCGCGCGTAACTGTACCAAGGCCAAAGGAATTAGCCTGGATTTTCGGCGTTTAAGTTAGCAAAACCTGGGCTCTAACACGCTCTCTCCATCCCCCCCGAACACACATTCAGCTCATCAACACATCCACGGCTGCAGCACGAAAATAACCCCCCCTAACGATATGTCCCAACTTCGGCCTCTCTCCCAAACCCCGAATCCGGGCGGGAGCCGCGGGAATCGTTTTCCATCCGGGCATGGACAAGCTCCAGCCTTAAAGAAGAGAAAACAGTCGCAATAGAAAGAGGGGGAGAGAGAGAGAAACTACCGCAGCTAGAAGAAATTCGACTGTTGAAATGTGGTGCAAATTGTGTATATCTTTGCATAGGGCTCCACAGGCATTTGTGTTTTGTGTTAAACACTCGCACAGGCGCAGAGACCAGCTCTCCAACCGGGAGGCTGCCTATATTTAGATACCTCCTGCTCCCTCGCAGGGTAATAAAACAGGAAACCACGTAGATTCCGCCCCCCCCCCCCCCCCCAAAACCACCACCCCCCTCAACACAACCCCACAAAACAACAGC